TTGCACCGTAAACTTCATTTGGTAATTTATACATATATATAATATATACTTGCAGCGAGCGATCCCTTTTCAACCTGCCAGTCCCAGGTCGTTTCTGGGTGGTTGAACCGGATCCGCCTTCACCAGGCGTGCGCAGGCCGCGGCCTCCCGGCAGTTGAAGTCGTGCGCGGCCGCTCGGCAGTGGCGCCACTCGCTGGCGCTGCTCGAGGGCATGGCCCGTGGTGCGGTGCAGGCGACGGCCCGGTGGCTCGGAGGTCGGCCGGCGACGGCGGCGATGGGGAGGGTGAAGGTCTCCCCACGGTCCGGAGCCAGGAAAGGTGGACCGTGACCATAGGTACTGCCCCAAACACGATCGATGGGATTGCCATGCCGATCAATTGACCCCTCTCGCACCACCCCAATTGATCGGCATATAGGCCAGTCCCAAAAAGTGTCTGGGTCGGGTCGAACGTGCCTTGTAGACGTACTTCAACAGGAAGGAAGATCCCCTTTTCGGGTCTTTTTCCTGTCCTTTCCGTGTGCCTTTCTTGTCCTATTCCTGTCCTTTTTGTGTCCTTTTCCTGTCCTTTTCCTGCTCTTTTTCATGTGCCTTTCCTGTCCTTTTTTTTTGGGTCTTCTTCTTTTCCTTTTCCTGTCCTTTCCATGTCCCTTTCCTGTCCTCTTCCTGTCCTTTTCGTGTCCTCTTTCTGTCCTCTTCCTGCTTTTTTCGCGCGCTTTTCCTGTCCTTTTTTCGTGTTCTTTTCCTGTCCTCTTCTTGTCCTTTTGGTGTCCTTCTGACGTCCTCTTCCTGTCCTCTATTTCGTTTCCTTTTCCTTTCCTCTTCCTGTCCTTTTCGTGTCCTCTTCCTGTCCTCTTCCTGTCCTTGTCGTTTTCATCTCCTTTTCTGTGTCATCTTCGTGTCCTTTTCCTGTCCTCTTCCTGTTCTTTTCGTGTCCTTTTTCTGTCCTTTCCGTGTCCTTTTCCTCTCCTCTTCCTGTCCTTTTTGTGTTCTTTTTCTGTCCTCTACCTGTCATCTTCCTGCTTTTTTCGTTTGCTTTTCCTGTCCTCTTTGCGTGTCCTTTTCCTGTCCCCTTCTTGTCCTTTTGGTGTCCTCTTCCTGTCGTCTTCTTGTTTTTCTTTTTTGTTTTGGTGTCCTTGTCATGTCCTTTTCATGTCCTTTTCCTATCCTCTTTACCTTTTTTTCGTGTCCTTTTCCTTTTGCTGTCCTTTTCCTGTCCTTTTCGTGTTCTTTTCCCGTGTTTTTGTTCTTGTCCTGTCCTCTACTTGAATCCTTCTCCTATCCCTTTCGTGTCCTTTTTGTGTCCTTTTCCTGTCCTTTTCTTCTTCCTGTGATTTTCCTTCTCTTTTCCTCTCTTGTCTTTTTCTTGTTTCTCATCTTTCATTTTCATGTCCTTTTCTTTCCTTTGTTTTCCGGCTGCTCTTCTTACTTTTGTTTTTCTTCTTTACGCCGTTGCCGCCTGAGGTGTGGATATGTTTCTTCATGCTTGCCGCCATTTCGATGCTGAAGCCGCCTCAGACGCAGGATCCAACAAAAGGTTCCTTTTCCTGTCATTTTTCTATCGTGCATGTTCTTTTTCTTTTCTTTTCCTTTCCCTTTTTTTCTCTGCTCTTCTGTTTTAATATCCTTTCCTTTTCCTGCGCTTCTTTTGCTTTTTCTTCTTTCCGTCGCTGCCGCCTGAGGTGTAGAACTGTTCCTTCAAATTTGTGGTCACTGCGATGATGGTGGTTCCTCGGACGCAAGAAGGATAGAAGCAGAAAGACTTACATAATAACAACAATTGCGGTCTGTGGTCGGCCGTGGTCCTCGCCTAGACGCGGGTCAAGGTGGCAGGCGGCATTGGAACTATAACGCCGTGACTGATGACGCGGAGTTCAAGAAGCACTTTTGAGTGTAGGCATCTTTGTAGAAAGGCCCCCAGAAGATGGCCAGGGCATATAAGAAAAAGAGGGTCGCTGGATCCATCCATGTCGGCGCAAAAGAAAGAATATAAAGCCGACAAATGACAAAACAACATTTAGCAAGAAGGCGAATGCCCCGCCAAAGAAACCTTTAGCCTGCAGGGCTACAGTTAGTGATCAGCCCGTTTCACCCACTGCCCCAGGGGGAATTCATGCCATGGCAGGCAACATGAGCACTATGAGCGCGTGAAGGATGGCGCCAAACTCAAAGAGCTCTGCTGAGCGCAGGCATTTTTGTGGAAGGCACGCCAGAAGCTCGCACTATCCGAAAGAAAAACGAATCACCGAATCAAGCTAGACGTCCTATCAAGACACGTCGCTTCTTTGAACTTGTGTGTTACAAAGACTGCTAGATATAAACGAACATGTCTTCTTGAAACACCTGCAAACATACACGGGTTTGTAATTTTGTAAAAAGAGAAGAAGAAAGATCAACGGGGAGAGAGCAACAATCGTATAAACGTAACGACGCCGGCAATTTTACGAAGGAGAATGAAGAAGCTGCAAATGGACACCAAATATGTTTTTAAACAAAAAAAATATATATGTATGAATAAGCCTAGCGACTGACGCTCTTCCAATCTTCCATTTTCAATACCGGCATCAAGGCTTTGGGCGCCATACAGACTTGTGTCTGTTCGTATGGCTGAATGGTCTGAACTTCAAAAAGTCGCTCTGCCACACACATGCAAAAGCTGGTGAGCACAACGAATCAACTTTCAACATTGCCCTCTTCAAAACCAAAACTGCGAGCGCTGGGCGCCTGCACTCCGATGACACGAAAAGTGATGGCCACTCGCGATAGATCCATCCGACCGGCGGATGGAATAGAAATCAAAAAAGAAGTGACTTGATGGGCCGGGTTGAGTTTTTTGTTTGCTTTTGAGCTGTTTGCCCAGACTTCTTTTACCCACAAGACGCAAAAAACACCCTATAGGTGAAGGTGGCTCTAGTTCAGAAATGGCTTGATGCACACAGGACACCAAGCGAGACAAAAGGCGGCACCCCAAGATGCTTGGCATTGGGGGCCGCCAAAGGCAACAGCGAGTGAAGGCGTGGTGTTATTTGTTGTTCTCTCTCTCTCTCTCTCTCTCTTTTTTCTCTCTCTTTTTCTCTCTCTTTTTTTCTCTCTCTCTCTCTCTCTCTTTCTCTCTCTTTCTCTCTCTCTCTCTCTCTCTCTCTCTCTCTCTCTCTCTCTCTCTCTCGCTCTTTTCTTCTCTGCCAGGCGCGTGAACTTGTCTCACGCGTAAAGGAAGATTTGGCAGATTTGGCCGCGGCGCAGAGGCGGGGTACAGCCACAGAGGGATGCCACCCCGACAGCTCCACCCTGCTGGGCATCCTGTCGTGCCAGGGATGACTCATGGCGTGCCAGGAATGACATCATGTCGTGCCAGGTGTGACATCATCTTAGTCCCTCAGTGGGCAACCTTTAACCTTTCTGTTTGTTTCTCCCCGGGGGGGGGCAGGGCGCAACAAAAATCAAAGGGCAACGTGTTTGAGAGCTTTGTGTTTTTATAGTTTTTACAGGAATCGGAGACAAGGAGCGCGATGAGGAGCAGAACCAGGAGGAGGGCGAGGAACAGGACAAGGAACTCAAGGAGCAGAACAAGGATGAGGACGATGAACAGGACGAGGAGCAGGACAAGGAGAGGACGAGAAGGAGGAGGACGAGGAACAGGACGGAGGAGGAGGACGAGGAACAGGACGAGGAACAGAACGAGAAGGCGAGGACATCAACCAGAAACGCGCTTCAACGCCTTCCCCAGCACGTACGAAAGACACAAGGGGTTTCAGTTCCATTTGCGCCGTCGCTCACTGTTTGGTGTCATGCCGTTTTTGCAGCTTTGATTGAGCATTTCTTTACAAGTCAATTTTAAAAATAAAAACGTCTTCTGATGCCCATTCCGTTTTGAGGTGTAGTCCACGATGGCGCCCAAACCAAAGCCATACTCAAAGCTGGAAAGGCTGCAGCGAAAAAGGATCCTTGACCCTGTCTATCTATGACAGAGTCAAATGCCTAAGTCAAAAGATCCGCCAAATGGAAAGATGTAAAAAGTCAAGTGCGTAAGCTCATGTTGTGGTGTGGTGGAGAAAGTTTATCCGTTTTTTGTCCCCTGCATGGCGCGTAAGGTGAAACGCGAGTCGCGGTTTTCGTGCGGGCGTAGGCATTGTTTTTCCTTGTCGCAACAGCCGGGGCACAAACGTCACGCCGCCACGTCACGCTCGACCCCACCGCGCACGACGTGCGACCACATCGCGCCGAACGGTGCCACCTTCTGGACCCCCCTAGCGGCTTCACAGGCCATCCATCACCCCGCGGATGTTCACGGCCATGCCCCGCACGTTGCGCCACGGCGTCACGCCGAACGCCGCCGCGCACGATTCCTCCCCCACGTCGCGCCGAACGCGTTGACGTCATGTGTTGCCAGAGGTGACATCTCGTCATGGCAGGGCCCAACCCTTGCTTCAAACCCTGCCAACGCGACAGCTCCACCCTGCTCAGCATCCTGTCACGCCAGGGCTGACATCATGTCGTGCCACGGGTGGCATCATGTCGTGCCAACGTCATGTCACGCCAGGGATGACATCATCCGGAAATGACATTGTCCGCCAGGGATAGCACCATGTCATCACGGCATGGCAGACGGATGCAGACGGCGTCATGTCACGCCAGGGTTGCAATCATGTCACGCCAAATCGTATCGATACAGGGAGTGGGAAGGTTGGGCCTCCAAACCGAGGGGCGCCGTGTGGCTGGGTGGCAGAGGTGCCCGGAGGCGGAGGAATGGCTTTGGCATGCGGCGTCAATCGCAGGGTGAAGATTGCTGTTGTTTCACGCTAGTGTACTATAGTCATGTCTCGCGTGTATCAAAGCAGTTTTCGGCCCAAGCATACCGCTTTACCTTCGCCCACCACCAGTCCTGACATCTAGCGAGGCTTGAAACGCATCAGAGACATATGAAGAGTAGAACATACCAGTAGCGCCTCGTCAGGATGCCCACTGGTTATTTGCAGATAAACTTGGGTAACGAACGCCTGGCAATGCCCGGAGCACTCAGATTCGTGCCCGCACCTGACTTTTCACCACGCTGAACGCTGAAATCCGAGCCCTGACTTGAGATGGTACCTCCAAACAGACTTTGCAAGAGGCTGGGGCACGACGTCAACCCTCGTGTAGGATGCGGAAACACACCCCGTCACGCAGGCTCCTACCGCGCACTTCAAGGAGCACTGGCTCGAGCAACGGGGCTTTGAAAGCTGCATCCTTATCTCTTTTCAAAAGTTTAGGGGCCTCACATCACTAACCGAGCGATGGTACATGCCACCTGAATCATAATCCAGACACGACGCATGGAACTGCCATATGTGCCGATCAGGCTGTCATATATAGCAATCCCATGGGTCGTGTCTGCCGGGCCGAAGAACCAGGGGACCCCACATGAGGTGGATCAAGTCCAGTCAGATTGAAGAACCAGGTATGTTTGATTTTTGCTTAAGGTGTTTTTTGCTCAATGGAAGAACACCCTTTCTGGTGGAGTTTCTATTTTTGGTCCGGTCCCTTAAGCAAATCCCCGTCCCGCCAACTCTTCCAGTCCCGCATATATGTTGAGGTCATTCACTTGAGCTCCGTGCTCTCCTCCTTGGCGCAGCAGTGGCCGCGGGCCATGGAGCTTTTGCGGTGCATGGAGGACCGGGCCATGGAGCCCTTGCGGAACCCAGGTACTTCGCGCTGGGCCAAGAGAGGTAGCCAGTGACCGTAGATAGGACCCTACTCACCTGGGGTACCCAACTGGGATAGTCGAACGTTCGGGTCCTGAAAAACCCCTGTTGGTGAAGCAGGCGCGAAGCACGAATTTCGGGGGTAGATATAGAACCTCAAGTTGGGGCGCGGGTTCCAAGATGTTCCATGGCCCAGTGCGGCCGCCGTTTGGTATCCTGCAATAGGGTCCCGGTGGTTGAAGACAGCCTGACTCCTTAGAATTGGCATTGTTTCAGTAGGTCCATGTCGGGAACGGGATGGTTTTTCAATGCTTTTTGTTAGACCCTAATTAAGCCCATAGGAATCCAAGGTCGGAAGGTGTTTGGAGACACTGTTATGTCGGTTTGGAGGCTCCAGTCGTACCTTGTGAGGTTCGGTACGACTAGATTTTTAGGGTTAATGTTTTGGTAGATCCTGTCCTAGGCCCAAGGCCCTAAGTGAGTGGATGTGACAGGGGACACCCTAACTTCCTCCATGAAACACCCTTTTTTTCAACTGCAGATGATCAGCAGTGAGAATGTGTTGGACATCCTCCGAGCTGGATGGTGTCTTGGTTTCCTTTTAGATGCTGTAGATCTTCAAAGACCCTTAAGACCCTTCGCCCCTTTCATGAGGGGATTTACTGCGAACCCCCCTGGGCCGACCCTGGGTGAACTCGGCCGTAGCCCTTCCCCCAAGGTTCCTGGGGCCATCCGGCCAGGAGGATGGGATGCTATTGGACACGGTCTGCTTCAATGCGGCCTTAAGCGCCTGCGCCAGCTGCGGGTGCGGGGGCGCCAGCTCGGCTTCGCGAACCCACGCCTCGTAGCGCTGTCGATCGCTGGTCGAAACAGGTGTTGTTCGTGTAAGGGCTCCGGGGGTGTTCGATTGAAGCGATGGTCGAGTTACAAGTAAAATGAAACATCAATATACATCAATTGAATTTTTGTGAATTTTCACATGCGGTGGTTTCAGAGTAGATGGCACAGAGCCCAAGATGTCCTTTAGATGAGGGTCCATATAAACCAACCTTTTGTGCCATCATCTCTGAAACCACTGTAAAATGATGTAAACCAGCAGTCACACAGGGGTGCCGAACTTGGGAGGAAGTCGTTTTTTTTTGAGAACATCCACTCACTGGGCAAAACCGGCGAACTCGCAGCTTCCGTCCAGCGTCTTAAAGAACCGCGTGACCAAGTTAGTGTAAGTAACTGTTCAGACAGGATCGCATCCAGCTTCTGAAAAAGAAGTTACCTTTTTCTGGAGTCCCTGTTTGTGACCTTTGACGTGTTTCTGAAACATCTGAAACAAACCTCAAAAGCCGGGGATGAAGTTTGGTCACTTTGAAGAACCAGGCTAGAAATGTTCAACGGCTCAGGCCTTCTTGGGTCGTTAGATGCTCCTACCCCTTCCTCATCTCTTCTTTCTCCACATCCACCAATTCACTTGGCTGCCCAGAAGCCACAGAGTAACTAGGCGTGCGGCGTGCGGCGTGCCTGGCATCTTGGCCACACCTTTGAACGCAAACATAGGCCAAAATCCACAAAGGACTCAATCCACACAGGCTCACGATTGAAAAGAATGGGTCACAAAGAAACTCCATGGTGCTGCTTCCAGAATGCTCATCTTAATTTTCGGCCGATCGATTCCTTAGGGATGGTTCCAAATCATTCGTTGCGTTGAAACAGGGCACGTGTAGAGAACTTGATACTTTGGTTTTGCCATCTTCGGGGGTAGCAGTAGCAGTTGTACAAATATATACGTAGACCCTTCGAAGTATATAGGGCCAATTCTGGACACGAATCTCCCAATCCCAACCCAGCTTAAGACCGCTGAGGGAATCGGGGTCAAGTTCCAACCGTCGCAGGCAATTTGAAGCCGCCTTGCAGCTCTTGGAGCAGATGGACGCCTCTCAGGTGCTCCCTCTCTCCTGTGTGACAGGCGTCCGCGGCGTCCAGGGTCGGTGGTCGGCAACTGAACCTCTTACTTCACCCGACTGATCGGAGGTCGTCCAGTTTCCAGGACCTTCAAAGTGACCTCTTTGGAGACTCTGACAGAGTGACCACGGCTGTGACAGTGACCGAACCCGTCACTGGGATCTCGTGACCTCTTCGTTTGCGTGAAGTTCCCGAGTTCGGGTGACCGTTCGTCAGACCATTCCTTTTATGGTCTTTGACTCCCAGGGTAAATACTGTCCTAGACCACCCAAGGGTGTCCAACGGAGACCTCTAGCTAGTGTAGGGTAGTCTATTGGACATTCCTCGGAAGGGCCCTGGGTATGGCAAGTCGAATGCTTTTCAGGTGGTGTGGGAATGCATTAATTCAAACACGGTAGTCATAGCACGACTATGATGTACATCAAACACCTTGATAAATTCAAACAATATAATGGTCAAATGGTATGATGCTTGGACTGCAGGCTTGTAGTTACTAAGCTTTCTTCAGCTACACACCCCAAGCCATGCGTTGTGGCTTCGATGGGTTTTTGGCTCTTTTGACCACTTCTTTGGAGTCAGGAATTCTCCGGTTTCGGGTGTGGTCTTGGTCTTGCGGGTACCTCCGCACTTCGGATGGTCGTCTTGGAGGGTGACTTCTCGTTCTTCCACAGAAGGGTCGAACTGGGCCAAAGGACATGCGAAAAGGAGGTTACACTGGAAGTGGATGGAAAGTGGTCCCCTTTGGATGAGCCATTTCCGAATACCAAACAGGTGGGTGAACTCCACTTCCCTCGATGAGTTCAGGGCATGTCATCAGTTGATTTGTTCCATCCTGTTCCATTCTATTCCCACCAATCTTCATCCACCAGCTCACCTTACCTCCTCCAGAATTTGTGGCGCAACCCAACTGCGACATCGCCCCCCTTGGCGGCATGCATGCCCCGGGATGCCGAGAAGCTATATAATAAGTATTCCCTAAAACTCGAATCATCTACCAGGAGTCACAAAGGGGTGGTTTTTAGTCCCATCCAGTGAGTGGATGTTCTGGGCATCCCTATCCTGGGCCTGTCCTCCAAGTTCGGCACCCCGTCTTGTGACTGCTGGTAGAAACACAGTCTCAAGGCCACCTCCACACTTCCAAGATCTCTTCACCATATACCTTCCCCAGGCTCCACCAAAGCCCGACCAGTCCAGCACGGTCCGCGAGTGACAGCCCGACCCGTCCGGAGGCGGATAGGCCGAAACCGGTCAGTCTGGTGCCATGACCCCCACGTCGATGCTTTTTGGACTCCGAACCAGTCCCTAGCCTGGTGGTTCAATCCGGGCACCGAACTGGACACCCCGGAGACACCTCGACTGCGACTGGAGGGGTCCAAGGGTTCCGGTTCTCTTAGGCGCCAAGCTACCGCCAGGTGCCCAAGAGCTACGCCACCGCCAGCGCCGCGATCGTCGCCTGCGGGCGACGCTGGCCTTGGGCGCTGCACTTCCTGGCCTCGATGCCCAGGCGGCGTAGACTGACCTTGACCTCCCAGGTAGGTGAACCAACCAACAGAGCTGGAAGTCTAGGTCAACATCCCATGCAACCGCCATGGTCAACCAACCATGGACCTCCCGGGTAGTTTTTTTTTTTTTTTTTTTTCGGAAGGACCCTAGTAGGGCTCAGAGGCGTACAAGAGCGTACGTAGCCTTTGCCCCAGAACCCGAATAGGGTTCGCTAACAGAAAGAAAGAAAAAGAAAAGGACCCTAGTTCCTTCGATTCTGGACCGAAGGCCCGAACGTGGCGCGCGAACTGGCCCTGAAGGTCAGGAAGTTCAGTCGACTGCAGGACCTGCAGGGATCTCCAGGGACGCAGGACCACCAGGTTTGGACCAGGGTCCAACAGAGGTGGAACGTGACCGGGACCAGGCCGGACCCGGAACACCTGGGGTATAGTCGAACGTTCGGGTGCTTCAACCTCTGTTGGCAGTTGGGTCAGCCTGAACCAGGTTTGGTTTCCGGTTCTCATGAACCAGGAACACCTTCTCCTACAGTGCGGCCATCTCCGCCTGCGAAAAAGCGGGGAACTGGAGCGTGATGCTGCTGTTGTTGGAGGACATGCAGCTTGGAGCGTCAGGCGGAGAGGTGGGTCACCTGCTTCCTTGCAAAACATCCGATGTAGCTATACCCTGCAGGACCTTAGGGTCGATCGGAGGCCCCTGACCTTCCCCCCTGACCTTAGTCGCGTAAACACTCCAGCTGTATCCTTTCCTCGCCTCAGATTCTTGGGTGGTGTTTGGTGGTATTTGGGTAATCATCAACTGGACCTTCGTCTATTCAACCGTCCACACCACTTTCAACAGGGAATCCCAGCTGCGGAAAATTGCAGGGAATGGCCTATATCTTTGGAACCTGCAGTCACAAAGGGGTGCGATCCATGGAGGTAGTCGGGGTGCCCCTGTCACATCCACTCACTTGGGGACGTTTCACACCACCCCGACATGTGACTGCTGGAACCAACGGTCCATGAAAGTGTCATGTTGGGAAAGATAGGAAGCAAACGACGCCCTCAAAATGCACCTTACTTCCGCAATTTTTCATCCATTTTTGCGATTGGTTTTGGTCTCCACGGGTAGGCTCCACCATCGGTATGTTGACGGGATGAAGCCGCCCTTTTGCTTGGAACCATCCAAGAATGCAAGCCTTGAGAAGCCCATCTATTACTAAACCATGACTCGTCGACTCCAACTTCTTCCGTCCAACAGCTCGCAGCGGCTCGCAGCCACGCGAGCCGCTTACCTCGCGAGCCGCTGACCTCAGGCTGCTCGAGCGAGTGCCTTGGAATGTGGTGACCTGCTCGGCGTGCATCGCCGCCTGCGAGAAGGGCCGCGAGTGGCGCCGGGCGCTGCAGATGCTGCGACAAATGCGGGCAGCCGAGGCAGTGCGGAGGAAGAGCGGAGGTGATGGAAGAGCACCCTAACATGGTCTAACATTGTCTAACATGTAACTCCGGGCAAGAGAACCAGGACCTTCAAAGTGACCTACTAAGTGACCTTTTGAGATCTCAGTGGCTGAGGTCACTTAGTCCCAAAAGAGGTCACTTTGACGAGTATATATAGCCACCCGTTTTGGCGCTGACTCCGCGCGGCGTCAGCCGCGTCGTTGGTTCGTGGAGCACACGCTGGCAAGGTGGAACCCAACACCTTCTCCTACAATTCGGCCATCTCTGCCTGTGAGCGTGGCTCCCAGCTGACGAACGCCTTGGAGCTTCTTCAGGCGACGAGACCGCAGCCGACCACGCAAGGGTGCGGTCGGGTGCGGTGGTTCGTCTTCTCCCAGACACCGACCTCTGTGGGAGCCGATCTGGCCGTTGGGGTGCTGGTTTCAAGGGGGTGGCATGCCACCGGGGCGGCAGAACGCCAGTGCCATGGTGGCTAGGGTGTTTCTAGACACGGTATAGGTCTCGACTCACACCGAGATGAAACAGGAGTCATGGGAATCCATGGTTTGTGGATCAGAGCGTTGTGGAGCAATAGCAACTGGGTGCCAGACCAATCATCGGAACCTATTGGAACCATGATGAAGGGCTCTACATTGACATACATTGACCCCGAAAAAGCAAAGCATCTTAAAGTCGCACCCCTTTAGATCTGCATGTTGCCAGTCCCTATTTCATGGTCGTGCCATGGGATTTGTTAACAGAGTCGTGACGGTTCACCACTGTCACCACAACCCATACCTTGACGGGAATTGACTTACATACCTTGACACTGAAGACATCTTTAAAATCTCCCCTACTGTTTCTGCATATGGGTGTGTATCAAAATAGGGAGACCTCCCAAAGATCCCCTGGAAGAAGGGATAGACCAAAAGCCATTTGGCCAGAGGGTCTCCCAACTAAAATACAAACCCATATACCAGCAGTCACAAAGGGGTGGTGTTTAGTCCCTAAGTGAGTGGATAATGGGCACCCCTAACCTCCATTAAGCACCCCTTTGTGACTGCTGGTATATTCCACATATGGATTTTCAGGGAGTGGTGCCGAGCGGAGCCGCGCTCGGTTCAACCGCTCCACCCGCGCCTTTCGCTGCCGCACGCCGCGGGTGCCGAGAGCGTCCAACAGGAAATGGACCGTGTGGAGATTCGTCAGGAGTGCCCCCACTTCGATCGCTGCATGGCACCGGGTTGGGGGAAGCTTTCACCTCACCGAAGTCGTTGCAGGGCGACGCCGAAAACAGACGTCAGGTGTCACTCAGGGGAGGTTTTTCGGATTTGACATACAGCGTCTCACAAGTGGCTGTCCAAGTCCTGAAACGGTCAGAGCACTGCTTGGGACCAAAGTGGTGATTCCAGCCGACTCCCGTCGGCTGCACGACGGGCATCGCTTGTCCCGGCGGGTTCCGAAGGGTTGGCCGTGAAGTGGTGGAGTCTTGACCCAGCTAGTGTCCGAAAAGTGGATCCGCTGCAACATCACTTTTTTGGGGGGAATAGCTTTTCTGGGTGGCAAAAAACTGACCCTCCCTGCAACAACCCTGGAAGTGGACAACGCCCTGTTTGGTCTTCGGAGATTGATCCACCTCCAGTGGCAAGTGTCCACTTCCACGACTGGAAAAAGCTTCACCTGGGGACCATTTATTGATTCCACGGACACCAGTGACCTTTTCAGGTGGCAGGTATACCCTTTACATCCCTTTACAGTCTTTACAGTCTTAAGTGACCTCATATATCTCAAAGCGTCACTGGGAAGGTCCGAGCAGTTCTGTCTTCTACAAACAGCTACTTTGAGTCCCTTGAGTCCCAATTTTTTAAATTTCCAGCGGCCGTTCAAAGACGAACGGCGGACTGGTCACACGACCGGTGTGCCTGAGGGTCCGTCGGCGATTTCGGGAGCAGGATGTGGTGACCTATGGGAGTGCGATCTTCGCCTGTGAGCATGGTGGCCAGTGGCACACCGCCCTCAAGCTGTTGGAGGAGCATGGTTTGGTTCACGGATGGGGAAGAGGGGCTCCAGTCGTACCACCGAACCGAGATGAGTGCGTACGACATGGTAGGACCTTGAGGGTTTGGAAAGTGGAGATAGAGTCAGAGCGTAGAGCCCATCGTGACAGCCTGGCACCCCACCCCTGTAGATTCGGACACTCCCAGCAGCACCTCGGAGGCGCATGGATGAGAGGTGTACAAGCATTAAGTGCACACAATGTCATCCCATCAATGTGGTCAGCGAGGTAGCATTGTTGACATCCTAGACTCAAAACCCAACTGTTATACTACATGCTCTCTCTGAAACGATCTGATTTCACAACACGAATATGCAAGATCCCTCCACCACGTCACACGCCCCGTCTTTCCGCCGGTGGAAAGACGGCCAGACCACGGTCAGACGGGTTGTGCCGTGCGTTGTGGAGATCGGCGGAGGAGATGGGCGGCCGGCACATCGAGAAGAACTGCGTGACCTGCAACGCGGCCTTGAGCGCCTGCGGGTGCCTCGGAGCGTGGGAGGGACGAGGACGGGAGGACGTGTCGGCGTGCGTAGAATGTGGGTGGTTCCTTTTTTTTGTTTGGGGAGGGGAGCTCGCTGGAGAATAGAGGCAAGTTAGCCTATAGAGTGAGCATGAGTGAGCTTCTTAGGCCTAAAACTCCGCAAAAGTTGGAAATTGTTGGTGCCCTTGGCAATTTCGACCAGAAGGATCATGTATGCGTGGAGGGTATCTTCATCCCCAAGGTTGGCCTGGCCTTGGGAGGAAGAGCTTCCTAACCTCGAGGGCCTTGGAAGACCTGGAAGGCTGGTTTTCCTATGTTTTTCTTCCTTACCCTAGGGCTCCAAGTACCTCCTCAGGTTCGGTATGACTGGACCCTCCTGGCACCCGGGCCCCCAGTCCCACCGAACCGAACAGAACGTACGACAACGGAGCCCTAGGGTGAAGCAAATCGAAGAGATTTGGGGTCAGGAACTCCATTTGGGGAAACTCGATTTGCTTAACCCTAGGGCCCTAGGGCTAGAGAATAGATTTGGGGAACTCTACCAGGACACCCTAAGGGGTGTCTATTGATGGCCCCTTAGAGGTTAAGGGGTGTCCATTAACCACCCCTTGTGGGTCCTAGTATAGATTTGGGGAACGCCATTTTGCACGGTGCCTTTTGGGACATTCTTCTCTTCCGGCCTCCAGGGCCGCACGAGCTTGGCTGGCGGCCGTGGGGATCTTTCAGGAGAACGGCGTGGAGAACTCGGTCCGGGTGGGATCCACGACTGGATCCGCTTGGCAACGGAGATCAAGGTAGTAGACTCAGTATGGTCTCAAAATCATGAGATATCGTAAACAGACATGAGATGACAGAGTTTTTTTAAAAAGCAAAATCCAAGAGAGGTTAAGTGACCTGAAAAGGACTGTAGTTACTGGGGTACCTATGAGAGAGTCTAGTTCGGGTCATTCAACCTCTGTTGGATGGTAACATTCTCCAGATTGAAACCACAGGTGGCCGGACCCCTTCTAGTGGCTCTCCACCAGTCTCCGGGGTTCTTGGTGAGCTGGTCTCCATGGTGTAATGAAGGTCTTTGTAGAGGCTACAATGAAGGAGCTGCATGGTGCAACTTGAAAAACAAAAAACAAAAGTATTCTTCATGAGTAGAACACTTAATTGGCCGCGTCCATCCTAAGTAGAAAACTTATGATACAAAAATGCTTGTACAACTGGCCGCTCCATCTTGCAGCAGCGAGAGTATGAACCAATCCAAGAATATGACCAGAAACATGGACCAGCCTGGAATGTTTTTGGGATTCTCCTCTTCAAATTGCAAGTATGTATACACATACTTTTTTTTGATGGGGTCATGTCATGTTCCATCGAAAAAGAAGTACGAACGAAGTCGGATCCACATCTTATCCTTGGGCCCAGGGCTCCAGTCGCACCTCAGAAGCTCGTTAGACACGAACCGAAACGGAGGTGGGCCAGGAGCCCAAACGGGTTAGAACATGTCCAGCCCAAGAACCAGCTCTCCAGGAGATGCGCTCCTCGGCCATCGGAGCCACCGTGGCATCCTTCACCGCGCTGGCCGCGGCGGCGGCAGGCGCCCGGTGTTGACCTTTTTACAGCGCACTAGGACCCTTGTGTCGTGGGACGAAGACCTTGACCTTGACCTGGTGTTGCTGGATGGTGTATTGTGCCCCCAGGTCGGGTGAATTCGCCGTAGACGGACATCTCATGTTTTCCCTGGTTCCGGAGGCGGGAATGGGTCATCAATGGTGTTTTGTTTGGTGTATGGATCACTCAGCAGATGGTCACGACATACATGGTTGATTCGTTGGACATGCATGGGGTAAATGCTTCATGATGTAGCTATTCCAGGTCTGGGATCACTAGCTGGAATAGTGGAATAGTGACACGGATGGGTCATGTTCACGGGATAACACATATATTATACACGGATGGTCCGCAAGGAGGTCCGTCCTTGCTGACCTTTTTGCTTTTCCTGATTGGCATTTTATAGACACATGCACCCCTGATAGAGGTGGACCGAAGTCATACCCCGATCTTGTTGGGTAACATGTATATCCCCTTGGGCTCCAACCATATCCTCAGAAGGTAGTTAGCCCCCCCAAACCCACCCCAACCAACCACTCTCTCAGGAGGTGGGCCAGGAGCCCTAGGGATCACGGCTTCGAGCCAACCCCAAACCGAAGCCAACCCCATGGATGCTCTGGCATCACGCGGATGATGCTACGCGGCTTGAAACGCCGCCGCCGTGGCGGGCCCCGCGTGGCGTTACGGGCGCAGGCTCATGGGTCACGTGCTTGGCGGTGCTGGAGATGGCGCGAGTGGCGCAGGCGCGAAGGAATTGCAGTGCGGTGCAGGGTTGCAAGGGAGAGGAGGAGACAAGAAGGAATATGAAGGAATTCAGGGTCAGTGGTTCTTTGTGTCACTAGGGATTTGACATCTTGATTCTGAATTCTTGCAGAAGAGAAGCTGCCTGGTTGACCTGTCACACCTTGTTTCACCCTGGATGTCAACCGAACTGCAATGTCCAGTGGGTGCTGAGCTTTCGGCTGAAGCTGCAGAACTTGGCAGGTTCATTTGATGCTGACACCAGACCTCCAATCACAGGACCATTTTTCAAGCCACTCCACATATTTCCAGCCGACCTGCCTGTGCCGCTCGATTCAGTCCTCCTCCCGTCCCCCCAACCGAGGGTCGCTGATACCTTCCTTTGGATTCTTAGACTCGAACTGCCCCTTTGGTTCATAACCCAGACACTCCATGCCTGGCATACATGCATATGCCCACATTGACCCCTCAAACCACCCCAATGTAGGTAAATACACTACAGGGAGTGTTTGGGTAAGGGATTTACTTCCCAGGACCCTACCAGGACCTTTCCAGTGACCCAACTTGAGATCTCAGTGGCTGAGGTCATTGATATAGACTGTAAAGGGTCACTTACCAATCCTGAAGTCAGGTCACTGGGAAGGTCCTGGTACTTTGGTCCCATACCCTTGAGATTTGTTCTGACTCTCCGGGTTGCGGCGGCCACGCAGGACGCACACGAAGGACGCCATGTCGCGTGCGCGGCGGCCCCGTGCACAGGCCAGCAATTGCCTGGCGGTGGCGGCAGTGGCCGCCGCCTGCGAGAGGGCGTGGCATCTCCAGGAGGCCCATCGATGGTTTTGGGGCGCAGACGGAGGGTGTGGTGTGGACGGCCAGAACGGAGGGGCCCAGAAAGGCGCCACCGGAGGTTTGGCGGAGGTTTGGTACTGTACCCGGAAAGAGATGGAGATCGCCAGACCTCTAAAAAGAGTCGATCTATGTATGAGAAGTTCTCAGTGACATGCTTTCCCCCTCCATCGTCCATGCCCCGCATCCCGCGCAAAGAGGCGCGACTAGTCCCTGCCCTGCCATCGGTGTCGGCAGGTCAATGCCTTGCTCGAGGAGTTGGAGACCAGCTGGCTGAGTGCCGTGCGGCCGAATGCGTTGAGATGTGGCCTGGAGAGAAAAAAGAAGGGCTGCCGAAGGAGCTGGTGAGATACGTCAGCCTGGCGGAAGGTCGTTGGCTGAAGGGAGCGATCGAGAGAGATCGAGAGCCGCAGGTCTGAAGCGTCATGAGGTTCCTGATCTTTCCTGATCACATGACATTCCCATGGGAACAGGTCTTCAGACCTGTCTTTTCCAGAATGCAGACATCAAATCTCTTGCCCAGACACGACACGTCTGGGACTGCCAGGATGGACTGCCGAGAAACAGTCAGACCCCCAGTCAACCACCGTTGCCCTGGCCGTTTCTACTCGGCAGTCCGCCCTGGCAGTCCCAGACGTGTCGTCTGTGGGTTGGATTTCTTCATCGCCTCCAGTCGTCCACACTGGCGCCCCATAGCCTGGCCGCTGGAAGCCGCTGGAAGCCGGTGCAGCTGGGCCAGTTGGAGGGGCTGTAGATCCCTTGGATCGGCTAAGGTTCACAAAGAGGGACGCCTCAGACTCACAGTGACGGGTCACTGGGAAGGTCCTTGGAAACGACACGATTTCTATCTGCCTGGTTCTTCAGTACGTGACCGATCTTGATAACCTGGTTGGTTCGTGACGATCTAGGAACCTTCAAAAGGTCACTTTGAAGAACGATGAGTGTCTATTTCATTCTATTTCCACCTAAGGGCCTCCCCTAATAGATGGATGCTTGCCTGATTTTGCTTCCCCTCTCGCCCCTCTCGCCCCAACGTTTCAATGCTTTTGAAGGTGAAGCTCTTGTCACAGCTCCGGGCATTTTTAGAGTCTGAGCACCATCTGCACCGAAAAACCTGAGTGTCGCGCAGCCTTTTAGCATCCCTTCTAATCCAACGAAACAACACATAGAGGACACATGTTGTCAAACCAAGAATCAGACTAGCGTAAGTAATTATACTATTGACTGCTGGGTTCAATTGAGTTGAGCAGAACATGGTCACCTTTTTCCCACCTCAGCCAGACACGTGAACCCACGAGCGAGCGTGCATGATCTATGCAAACAGCCACTCTTCAGGGTATTGAGAACCGTTGAGTCACATGCCATCGAGATGAGTGTGCCCTGCTGCCAGATGCCAGCGGACGGAGAAGCCAATCACCGCCATGCGACCCAGTTCCCCAGTTCACATCGCGAAGTGGATCACCAGCAAATCACCGCCTTCAGTCCATTCACCAGTCACAGTCCCCTTCCGTGTCGCTGCATTCCGCGGGTTCACAGCAGCGCCCGTCATGGATGCGTCCGGGCGTCCCAGAAACACTCGGAGCGGAACGGACCGGGAGCGTCAAGCGGTGACCGTTCGAACCACCCGTTTGGGGCTCCCCACCTCCGTTTTCGGTTCGGTGGAGTGGGTGCCAGAGGGGATTTCGTTCTGCTTCTGAGGTGGGACAGGAGCCCTACACGAGTGAGGGTCGAGGCACTTCCATGCAGGGACTGGACCCTTCTTGAACCGCTCCACATTGCTATGCCAGCTATGCCCGGCGCATCGACCTCGAGGTGGAGTTGGCTCTTACCAAGCCCTCCAAGTCCAGGACGTGACCCCTCCAAACCTCCTGAACACCTCAGTATAAGAGTTCGTGTTTTTGGATGTTTTTGGATGTTTCGGGGTATGACCACCCATGTCACTAAGTGACCTGGAAGAGGTGCTCATGTTCGCTGTGCATTCTTGTTCAATCCACTGGCTTCAGGCCTTTGGCGCATCCGGCTCGGGTGCCCGGAGCTGCTAAAAGCAGCTATAAACACCGGAAGTCACACACGGGTCTGTGAAGACCCTCTACCGAGTCGGTCTGAACTGTTCCATGATTTTTCAGGGGGATTGTAAATGATTGCAATACCCAAGACACTCCATGTATGCCATTTACCTACATTGACCCCGAAAATAACCACCCCTGGCCTGATCGGCATATATGGCAGTCCCATGTGTCGCATCTGGGAGTCTGGGATATGTCAATCATTCGCCTGTCGGCCATGGGGTCGGGTCGTGGAGAGCACCAAAAATCACTCCAGTGGCCACAAATGCAAAAGGCCTCGGTGATGGGTTCCCCCCACTTCCAGGTGGCTTCCAGGTGGCCCGACGGCCGGGACTGGAGCTCATCCGGACTAGCTACGCCACCATGGATGGGTCAGATTCCAGTCCCATTCCTCTGGTCCTGGAGGCTCTAGCGGCCTAGCGCACCGCCCTTCTTCCATCCCTTTGGGTTTTTCCCACGCTCGCTGACACCAGCAGCGAGCTACCGGACACCAACGTAGCGAGCTGGCGCGACCAGTAGGCCTTACCGGACACCGACCTCCCTTCGTCGGTCACCGGGAGGTGCAAGCAGAGTTCCGGATCGTCATTCTGGAGGCGACCAACGTGCCCAAAGAGCGCCCCGATTCGATTCATCTGGACGACGTCGATTCATCGGACAATGTGAGTGAATGCACTGGACGGAGGTCGAAGTCTTCGGACGTGCATGTGAGAACGACACGCCAGGACCCTCCGGATGTCGGGGTATAGCCCCGAACCCGCGGGTGATTCGGGGTGTCCACCACCCCGACTGGGGGTCCAGGTGTGTGTTTGTTCGGTTGTTTCTTTGTATCGAAATGGTGGAGCAACAAAAACTGCCCACCTGTTGTTGAACTACCATGGATTTGTCCATGGATTCTTCGAAGTTTCCAAAGAGATGGAGCATGTTTGGAGGTTTAATTCGTTGAACTACTGTGAATTGAGGGGCGAAGAGACAGATCACAGGCGCAGTCGGACCAGTCAACTCAGGGTTGTAACTGGCATCTGAACAGACGAGTCCGTTTCCAACACCAGCACCATACTCACCAGCGCTGACGCATTCTTTCCTTTTGCAGCTTCGGCTCTGTGTGTTGCCGAGTACTCGGCCCGTTCGGCCGACCGTTGTCGCCGACATCTGAGGTGCAAAAGCTTGGCCGTCTCCTGGAAGAAAGGTGCCAAGGCCGACTCCTCTCGCCGAACCCCGTGACATCTCGTGAGGTTTTTGGCTCGGGAGACGGGGAGTGGCAGTGGCGGCAGTGGCGGATGCGGGGAAGTCCGATGCGGAAGTCGGTCGGAAGGTTGGAACATCTTTGGGATGAGCCAGTCCGATTCCGCAACCGCACAGGATTTCGCAACTAGGATTCTGCTAACTGTTAACTGTTTCATCCAATAATCCGCAACCTGGGCTTCCAAAACTATAGGATGGGGGGAGGGAGGGGACAATCCCATCGCGTTCGTTGGAGCAATCCAGTTGCTCTCACGACTCACCAGTTCGTTGGACTCAGAACTCGGACTCCTTTGGACTCAGAACGAACCCGGACTCGAACCCCAGGGCCCGAGCCGGCACCAGGCCCGAGCCGTTCTCCGAGGTTTCAGGCTACCCCATGTGAATCCGAAATCCGACGACGCAGTCGTTTCCGGCGTTCCGGCTCTAATCCATGTTTGGAGCCTGCATAGCAGGGGGACAAAGAGGTTGATGGGATGAAGATGAATGAACTATCTCACATAATACTGCTTTGCGCTGCGTACTCTGAACTCACTGTTTATAGTCCCTTCTCGTGTTCCTTGTAGTCCTCGTCCTTTGATCATCTTTCATCTTGGAACTCAATTTGGGAGACATGCTGACCGGAGTGGGGCTCAATTTCGCACCTGTCCCATCATCACCGCAATGACCTGAGTGCTTCAAAGACCCGAGAAAACATCTCTGTTTGATCAGAAAAGACCAGAGGTCACATGAGGTCATTTTGTGACATTATTTGTTGCTCAACCTGTTGTGCTAAATGGGTGCAATCATGAATGCTGGACCTCAGACTCCCACTCCCACTTAAAGCAAAGCACAGCTGCCGATCTACACAGCTGTTGTCACTGCCTTTTTTCCTTTCATGGGGCTAAGTAGATACCATATACCTAGAACCTGATTGACCCCTGTTTTGGACGGTTTTGGAGCCCAAACATGGTTTTTGCCAATCAAAACAGAGGTCATGTCTGGGGTCAAACGGTCGGTCTAAAGCCACGAACTTCGGGTACGGGGCCCACCCTCCGGCCTCGGCCCTGGCCCCCCCCCCCATCGCCTGGCAACGGTCTCCGCCAGTGCATCTCCACGAAGGAGGCGCTCGTGCAGCGGAACCGTGCCGAGCGACCTGTGCCGAAGGGCGGGTGGGTCATGGGTGGGTGGTGGGAGTTGTGGCGTTTCGATGTCCAAAGCCGAGGCGAAGACGGATGGCTCATGGGATGGGATGACCATCATGCGAAGACCCATTGTTATTTGTTTAGTCATGCGCATGTCGTCATTGTCATTGTTCTACTAGCAGATCCACCAGGTCAGGAGCCAAGGTCATGATGTTTTGTGGGGCATTTTGGGGTCCAGGGTGGTGGACGAGTTCTTCCATGAAGCCACTCCGAGCCTTATGCTGTGGTATGTTGGACTCCCCTTAACTTAACTTCTTTTCAAGGCTATCAATAGCAAACAGAGGCTTTTCCGGATCATAGCGAAGCAGCCAGGAGAAGCATTGATTCATCGATGTCCCATAAAAAGGAAGGACAATGCTGAACTTTACTTGCTGAACAGATGTTTCCAGCTACATGGCTGAAGGATTTTTGCAGCTACAGACTGTGTCAGTACTGTACGTAGTATGTCGATTCCTGTGAGAAAGCATCCGGTAGCATCGTTTTCTGATGCTTGAAACGAGGGGATTCATTTCCTTATGGCTGCACAGGGAAGACAGGGTGAAGCAAGGTTGTGAATTCAATGTTGTTCTTTTGATGGGGTTCACCCTTCAAGCATTTTCGAGGTCTCAACAGCCAGCTTTGTTTGCCATAAGAGTCTAAGAGTCCACAGGCCCATCACGTTCCTGGTTTAAGGCACACTTTTCCCACAGATCCGGCGCTCCAGGGTGAAAGAGGCCTAGGCCGGAGCAAATCGAAACGAGGTCCAATTGAACACCACGAAGACAAAGGAGAAGCTACCTCGACCGGAAGGCTTGTGTCTCATTAGGTTTACTCTCTAGGAGCCACTCACATCCTCAGAAGGTGGTTGGGGTATGTTGGGGTCCTTCTGAGGATGTGAGCCCTGGGGACTGTGACTGTTGTTCTCTTAATACACTTTTATCACTTCAGCAGGTGAGATGAACATCTCACTCACTCCGCGACCCCTCCCACCACCCCGAAACTTGCCCCCGGTGTGGCACGACGTGTTCCACGCGTCCACCGCGATGTGACACGCTGAGGTGGAATGAAGCCTTGAAGATCACCACCGCCCTCTGCCGCGTCGGCAGCCAGGACCTCGCGCGGGACCGCGGCCGTTGATGACGATCCCCCGGACGAAGGTCCGGAAGTCGTCCGACGTGTTACTCGACATCCACATGGAAATCCACCGTATACTCGACATCTTCGGTGGTTTGAATCCCCCCTCCAAGTCACAGGGGTCACTTTCTGCCGAAGTCGCCGACGCGCCCTTGGGATCAGTGGTGACCTCCCAAACCCAACACCGGCATGGTGCCTGCCACTGTCGGATCGTTACACCAGATCAGATATACCAGCCAGGAGTCACAGAGCTCGTTGGGTGGTTTTGTTCGTCCCATCGCCGTGGAGGGGCGCTGGGCACCCAACTCCTACCTCCAATACTTGTAGGCAGCCCGAGATGTGACTGCTGGAGGGAATAGTCTTTTTTCCAGGTACGCCTTTTCTCGTCTTCCTCCGATCAGCTCTGCAGGAGCACTTCCAGGCCAAGTTCTGCTGGCTCCAGGCGAGCGCAAGCTCCGCGCCGTGCCGACGATCGTTTTCGTCGCTGCGAGCGGTGCTGAACGGACGTGGCTGCCGCTGGGCAGGTGGGACCCCGCTGGGACCAGCGTGCTGGGATGCCTGTGCTGTGACCCATATGGTTACTAATGTACTTATTGGAACAAGGGTTGGGTAAATAGTGGCTTGACTTGACCAGGACAGCTAGTGAATCAAAAAAGAAGACGTTGGAGTTGAAGCATTAAAAACATGGCATGTCTTGGCATGTCTTGGCCATGCCAAACAGACAGATTCTAAGGAAAGACGGGGTCTCATTGACACCATTCACGAACGACAATTCCCTGAAAGTCATGCGTCCACTGCGTCTTTTTCGATTGCACGTCGATGCTGCACCGCTCAGCCGTTGGTTCCTCAAGAACCACCCTCCGATTTTCTGGAGGCCAAGGTCCGATTCGGTTGCTCTGCAGAGTAGCTGCGTATTCCGCTTTTTCCAGCACTCTGAAGTGGCTGAAGTGGAGGCTAGCTGAGGTTGGGTGAGCCATGTACATGACGCTTGGAACCATCGGGAAGAATTTCGAGCAACGGGCTCGCCCTGTGTGGATGTACCGCTACAATATCAAAGAACCTCATTTAAAGCGACTTCATCATAAACAGAACTCGATGAGGTTTTGAATGTTACTGAGTCAGACTGGGCCGAATGTGTCAATCCTTATACCCGGGCCCAAGTCCAGTCTGAGCAAGTCCCTGGCCATTTACCTTCTTGAATCGTGTTTTTTCTATATCCCTAGGGCTCCAACTACCTCCTGAGAAGGTGGTTAGGGTGGGTTCCAGGGGGGTCTAACTATCTTCTGAGGATATGGTTGGAGGTTTAAAGGGTATATCAACGTCAGTCAAAGGAGATGAGCTCACATGAGATCATCCACACTTGCGAGTCATGCGCGTCCACGGCCGCGGCGGTGGACAGTCCGCACAAGGTCAGGGGTCAGGTGCCCCACAGGCTAGTGAGAATGGTCGGCCAGCAGCCAAGTAGCTTTCAGGGGCCGGGTCAAGTCATTGACCGTACGGATCGGACGCTTGCCACAAAATTCACAAAGTAACAACCGGGTTCGGATCACCACTGATCTCGGCCACTGAAAGGCCGCCCCGTTTTGGGGCGGCGCGACTCCGCAGGATGCGAGATTTATGCCACGGACCTCAACCACCTGAAGAGACAAGACACTAGCCACACAACGAATCCAACCTCGAACGTAACGAAGAACCGAAGCTAACGTCTGGGGGGCATACCCAAGTTCAGGGGTGGAGGTCGAGGTCACCCATTCATCCTTGCGAAGTCCGGCTGTCGGAACCCGACCCCTAAAGGTGTCCCAAGTCCACAAGGCTAATTCCAGCCAACTAATCTCAAAAGTTTCCGGGGAAGTGTCTATCTGCAGAAGTTTCTGTACCATCTGCAACCCGAAAAGGCCAAAACCAAATGTCGAGGGGGAGGCCTGGAGTTGCACCAACCAATCACTTGGTAGGGCAGCCCACCACGATGATCCCTCACTCAAAGCTACGACCTGAACATGGTCATCTGAATTCTGCCTCTCAGTCACAGCGTCCTCATCAAGCGGCTGCTTCAGTAGGACTTGGCGTGCTGAAGCCACCTCTGTGTGTAGCGCCTGAAGATCGAGCAGGAGGCGCAAGCTGCGGTCTTGGTGAGCACAGAGGCTTCGCCACATAGCTAGGACAGAAGGTGCTCGCATGCAGTGGGCCGCTTTGGCCGCTTTGTCTGCTGCATTGTTCCAGTGAAGTGTCCAATCATCAACCGGAGACTTGCTGTCTTGCAGGTTGCGGTGTGCGGCCACATGTTGACATTGCAAGCGCACACCAGCATGAAGCAAACCCTGAAGCTCATACCAGAGGTCACTGTTGGTGTCATAGGGGACCGCCTCCGGATGAGCCAGCAGCCTAGTGAGGCCTGTAGTGGCATAAGCACTGTCACTCCAGATCGCAACGGCTGCACCCTCCTTCGCAGCCCAAGTTGCGGCGGCCACCAATGCCATCGTCTCGCTGCGATCAATGTTCTGGCACGGCCCATATAGCGGTGCTGCAACAAGACACTTACCATGAGTTGCCGAGACACATGCCCAGGCCGCCAAGGAGCATTCCGGCTGCTCGGGTCGAAGGCAGGAGCCATCAGTAAATATGTCTGTCCAAGGCACATTGGGATCAGCAACTAATGCAAAATCAAACCGAGGTACAGCTAACTCACCAAGAGACTGGACCCAAGAATCCCAGGCAGGAAATCGCTCCGGCAGCAAACGATGTCGCAAGGACACGGGCAAATGCGGCCATTCCTGCAAAATCCTGACATGTTTAGCTCGGGCGGCATGTAGCGGTTGGCAAACTGTGCACCTGTGATCCAGATCATCGACCACATCACACCAAGGACACATTCCTGATTGAAGACGGTCAAATTTGCTCTGCTGTCGACCTGTGAGAAAGACGCCTTCCTGCAACGCCGTCACCTGGCTGAGAGCCAAGGGAGTCAACGCCTTTTGGGCCCGAAGCAGCGTAGGACGATCAATTTCATTCACTCCACGGAAGTCTGCTCGATGGCGGACCGAGGCACTCACTACCTCCATCCATGTTGTCTCCAACATCCTGTACAGGATTGTGGCCGGGATTTGCAACAAGTCAAATGCTGCTCCTGTACGTGGTTGAATCCAAGGTGGCTCAAGCAGAGTCCAGGACAACGGTGATAACACCTCATAGAGCTTGGAGAAAGGGCCCGCTTTGAGCACTCCTCGATACAAGCGGTGATGATCCCGCCAGAGAGTCAATAGTTGCTCTTGCTTGCCGGCTATGCGTCTGAAGCTGTCCAGGACCAACACGAGGTGGTAAAAGCCTGGGTCACTCTTCAGGTTTGGTGAAAGAGCCATGCGAAGAAGTGGTGCAGCTCCTGCTCTTCCATAACCAAGAGCTCGTACGGCCTGCGTACGCAATGATGAGAGGTGTGTACCTCCAAGTAGGCATAGTGCAGTGCCATGGAGAGCCCGTGGCCAGAATGCAGCCACCAGCAACTGACGCTTTAGCTCATCATGCACTTCCATTCTGCGCAACCGCGGCCACAGACTGTGTAGGCTATCAATGCGTGCCTGCACGTGATCAATGTGTCGACGGCCTGTATAGCTCAACTGGGCTCCCAGGTCGGAAGCATGTGTCTTGACTTCATAGCCCAGCATGTGCAACTCCTGGTGATCTTGCATGCTAGTGGACCAGGTCCAAGTCTTGCGATGATCAAGGTCCAATTGCCACATAGCCATGAACTCCTGCAGAATAACCGTACTGCGGAACAGGTCGCCAACTTGGACTGCCAGCAAGCCTAAGTTGTCCACAAAGGACAGAGGAATCACCTGAGGGGCAAAGCACTTCATGTAATAATGGAAGGCCAAATCAATGACACTCATTGCCACGCAGGAGAGCGCGCACCCTTCCGGTACGCCTGCAGACGAAGTGTGAGCCGGGCCGGTGTCACCTCGAACTTGGAAGCGCCTTTCCATAGTATCCATGAATGTCTCCCAGGCCTGGAGCACCGGTTTGGGCGCACCAATGTGGCGGGCCAGCTGCAGCACAGGAAAACGAGGGATATTCTCAAAGGCTTTCTGTATATCAGTGACCAGGCCTTGCATAGTGCTCTGGCTAAGCGCCATGAGTTCAACCAATGCTTGGATCATGAAGGTGATCTCTAGACATTCACGGCCAGGCATAAAGCCAAATTGGGTGTCTGTAGCCAGCTCTGCAATGTGGGCCAGCAGTGGTTTGGCCCTAGCTGTGGCCCAGCTACGGTATATCGCCGGGAAGATAACCAGAGGGCGGAACTGTGAGACCGCAGCAGCATCTACAGTCTTAGCCAAGCAGGCCGTGAACCCCGTCAGCAGCTGTTGAGGCCAAGCAGTCGCCTGGTTTTCCACCGAATGCAAAAGTTGAAGCAAGGCCAGTTTGAATGCGCGCGGCATCACCACCAGATCATGAGGATGGAATCCGTCTGCTCCCCGAGCCGATCGATCAGTATAGCGAGCATTGGCTGCATCCCAAGTCACCAGATCAAGTGGTTGGTATGGCATAGGCCTCCTCGGGAGAAATGCTCGGCCAAAAGACAAGATGCGGTTCCAGTCAGAAGCAGGGATGTTGGCATGTTTGCTCCATCGTTGTGTCCAAAACTCCCCCAAAGCTCTGTGGATCGTAGTAACTTCAGTGCAATAGCTCTTGCACGTGAGGAGTTGGCCCGCTTGAATGAGACAGTCCGCATCCACCACCTGGTACAAATCTTCAGAGATCTGCTCAACCTTGATTTCATTGAAGTCGTCAATCCACCAGGAGAGGTGATCATGAATTGTATTGCCCAAGGGTCTCTCAAGTTGAATTTGGTCACCCCGTTCCGATACAGCAAGAATCTCTGCATCAGCACTTTCCACCAGTGTGTCGACATAGTCTTTTGTCTTGGAACGGATCCTCTGGAAGATCTGGTGACGGAAGGCCTGAATACGGGCTCGGCTAATCTCCCGCTGCTTCCGGCAGTTCCACGATTCATATTGTCGGAAGTTCAGAGTGAAGTCTTCAAACATTCGTGCAATAGAGGTGGATGAAGGTACCAGCATTTCCAGAGATGTTGGAGAGCCCTGCAATTTGATGCGTCGGGTAGGCCACCACTGGACAAAACCTCCCACAAAGCCTTTGCCACGGAGAATAGAGCTCCAACATTCAAGGCGATATGCCATTGCATTAGGATTCTGATCATTCTTCTGCAGATTCTGATGGAGGGCTTGAAGCCTGCGCAATTGTCGGAACCACAACTGGACTCCTCTGGACGCAAAATCAGTACGCAGGCACTGGTCACCATGTCGCGAAGATCGACACAGCGGAGCTTGCTGCCGACATTGAGTTGGTCGCAGATGTTGGCCACGGCCTAGCCACTGACTTGGAGGTCTCGCACTAGGCGTAGAAACAAAGCCGTTCAAGCTATGATCGAAGCAGCGGGCCCAATGTCTAAATTGCTGTGTTGGGTCATCATGTATCAATTCAACGCTTGAGGGATCATGCCAGTGCGCTTGCCAAGCAGCAACATCAACACTCTTCCAGTCAATGCGAGCAGGCATAGGCCAGACCTATGCCGAGGGAGAGGTTGAAGGCAACTTGAATCGTCCAAATACTGCTGCATGATCAGCAAACACCGGCAGGACTTCTGCACTGTGGAAGAGCGCTGCAAGCTCTGGAGAAACCAGCACAAAGTCCTTCTGGGTGGTGCCTTTGCACGTAGGGCGAGGTGGCACCCCATTCATGCTCCAATCAAGCTCTTGCACCTCTTTCCAGCCCAGACTCTTCCAATACTCGATGATCGGAATCTCGTCCAGGGTCAAATTGAAATCCCCACTGACATAGCGGCAGCCCTGTCGGCTGTGGATCAAAACATCAGTCAGGGTCTCAAAGAGACGATTGGTGAGCTTCTTAGCACCAGGCCACGTCGGGCCAGGCGACCAGGCATAGATTGCTGCCCCCGTCACTCCTAAGCTGCCTAGCCAATGTTGTGCCAGGGCCACGCGTCCTAACTGGAACTCCCCATGCGGCCACTGGGCTTGAACTGAACGTGAGGGGCAATCAGCAATATGCATAACTCCACTCCATGTCCCGGCGAGGCTGGAAGAGGTGCGCAAGGGAACAGGCGCACCAACAAGGAATCGACAGTCCCGGTCACAAGCTCGAGCTGTTCGTCGCAAAGTCCCAAGAACAGTATTTGTCAGAGGTAGGCTGAGATGGGTCTCTGCCACTGTCCAAATTCCTGCAGGAAGGTCGAGCACTTGATGTTCCTTGCCACGGATGCCCGACGGGTTCATAGTGCCGAGGGCAAAACTGTCCTGTGGCAGCCAAACTGGACCAGGATGTGCTGCCTCACCGAAACGAAGTACTTCAGCATGCCAGTCAGCTGTCGTGTCACCTGCCAGTCGGCTCCCCGACCCAACGTAGCAGTACGCGCCAGCAGGCACGTCCGCTCTGTCATAGTAGGACCGGGCAAAGGAGGCTGCTGGCAGGGTGTCACGCAACCAACCATCTTGAAAAATCTCCACCGAAGAGAAGGGGCCAAGCAACCGATCATGGCTACCAATACCGTCAATCCTTATACCCGGGCCCAAGTCCAGTCTGAGCAAGTCCCTGGCCATTTACCTTCTTGAATCGTGTTTTTTCTATATCCCTAGGGCTCCAACTACCTCCTGAGAAGGTGGTTAGGGTGGGTTCCAGGGGGGTCTAACTATCTTCTGAGGATATGGTTGGAGGTTTAAAGGGTATATCAACGTCAGTCAAAGGAGATGAGTTCACATGAGATCAAAAGGGATCGAGAGACTCTTCCACGGGGGCCCAGGTCACCTCGGATGACGCCCTGCTGCTCCACGACAAGGCGGGTTCCCGGAGACCGCGGAGACCGCGGAGACCGCGCTGCACGGACCGACTGCACGACCGAGACACACGGAGACGATGGTCTGAGGAGACGATGGTCAGGAGAGTCGGTTCATGGTCTGTCGAGTCGGGCCTAGGGTGATGAAGATGGATGCACACCAGAAACCCTCCAACGGGCTTTGTGTCTGTCGAGGAGGGGATCGCGTGTCGGTGTGGTTTTGTGCCCAGGTGAATCTGGCGGAGTTTTGCGATGGCCAGGCACATTCGTCATTGAATCTGGGGCTCAGGGGTAGAGCCTTGCGGGTGCTGGGCTGGGTAATTCTTGTGGTGCTGGATCATGGTCACCACGGGGTCGTCCCTCCTTGTTCATGCTGGGTTCTTAAATGGTTTTTCTCGACCCGGACCCGAATGGCATTTGTGGACGGAATCAACAAGAGACAGTATGGCAGCATGATCCACGAGTACAAATCTCTTGGCTCATGCCAATGGAAAGAAATTCAGCATAGGCACAGCCGATCCTTACTGTAGGAGACGCAAACCAGGGGGAAGAGAGACGCTTGAGTCATCTGGGATGTGGTTCATGGTTTTCATACAGTACAGGTGGCTCAACCCATGTCTTGACACGCTTTTAGTCTGTTTTACTCCGTGTTGGTCCATTCACGGAGGTTTTGGGGGCTATAGATATTACAATCTTACAGCCCTGGGATATCCTGGGATTATGGAGCCTCATTCGCTACAAAGTGAGTCTCACACGCACCCTCCCCTGAGCTCCGTCCGCTGACGCTCGCGCTTGCTCCGAAGGTTCGTGAGAAAACCCTGCAGATGAAGGCTGGACTTGGGCACTGACCCCGCTGGGCAGGGACCGCGGCAGGACGCGACGCCGGCAGCGACGCCGGCCGCGCGGCGTGTGGCGTGCGACGCGACGCCTCGTGCGATCGTTGCTGGAGTTTTTGGGTGCATGGAAAAGTCTGCCCGTAAAGTGTCTGAGATGTTCAGATCGATATGCAGTGGTTGAAAGTAGATACCCTATATTAGACTCCCCGTACGGGCACAGTCCCCAAGTGAGATGCTGCATGGCCTTGACCAAGAGACACTTCGTTGAACTGGGAACCGAATGCTCCTTTCACAGACCAGACCAGTTCCCCAGACCATCCATGGGACTGGAAGATGTACCTCCACAGACCCTGAACACATCGAAAAGACCACCGGCAAAACATTCCAGTCCTGGGGGTTTAACGGTTTGAAGTCAGAGCAACACCCACCGAAATGGCAGAATTCATTTGGAACATCCAAAAACCCCTCCAAAGACTCTCCGCTTTTCCTTGAGTCCGGACACGGACACCGGTCTTCCAGGTTCTGACTGAACGTGTCCTTCTTTGTTCCAGGAGTCCATTCCAACCCAGAATCACCTGCATGAAATCCAACTAAATCTCAATTCCCATTCTCCCTTTCTATCCGCCACCGGACCGCCACCGGACACGACCGCCAACGCCACCCGACCCGACTCGCGCCGCTCCGGGCTCACGGCCGGCGCAGCGTGCCGGGTCCCGCGGCCGGGCTCAGCTCGGGCGCTGCCGCGGCTCACGATGTTGGGGAGCTCAGGAAGAGGTGAGGTGCACGGAGTCACAGTGAGTCGCCGTGGGAGGCGACTGGGAAGCGTGCAGGGAGGTGGTGTTCTTTTCAGAGATGTGTGGAGGTCCATGGAGGTTGTTAGTACTGAGAATTGAGGATGTTTTGAAGACGGTGTTTCGTTCTGGAAGGATGAAATGCAGCTAGTCTTGAAAGCTTCAAGTCATCGGGCTGATGGACCATGGACTCATCAGACCGCTCTGCATGGATTCACTTCTCAGATATTCTCAGTTCTCATCGCTTCATCCTTTCGCGTTTCGGAGCGGCTATACTCCAGACACTCCGTAGCCTTTCACCCCCTTTTCAATCATCCCAATCTTGTTTTAATCATTTCTAGTTCCATGGAGTGTTAGCTAGCCTTGATCCCCTTTTCATCCTTGTTCAATCACCCCAATTTTTCAATATTCCAATTCTAGTTCCATGGACTGATAGCTACATACCAGATGAGCTGGATGAGGATCTAGATAGATCTTCCCTGGAAGCTCCGTTGCTCGCCCAGGTTACCACCTCCATTGCCCGCCATGCCGCCCGGGGCACCCAGTTCCATGATTTTCACTGGCATTCGAGAAACATCACCTGTGAAATACCTTTCAATTCTTCAAACAATGGACCTATCGATTCATAAGAATTCACCCAAGAAGAAGGGGTGCAGACCCTGACACTGGATGTTTGATGATGTTTGCCTGACAACTCCCCCTCCAGGGCAACATCACCCATCCGACGGTGCGACGGTGCGCGCGATTGAAACCCTCAAGGAGACCAAGAATGCGGCAACATGTAGATTGGAACTGCAGAGAAATTCAGCTTCAGGAGTGCAAGGGGATGCCGTCCGGATGTTGTTTGGTTTATAGACCCCCCTAAAGATCTACTGTTCATTTGTTCATCTAATACCCACCCCTTGATTATGCCCAATACTGCTCTTCATGCCGTTGGTCAGGCCTTCATTCTTGGTGCCAAAGAATCACCTTCTTCTTGGGATATCCCTTTCGATCGCATTTTCCAGTGACCGTTGTTGATGACTGACGGCTGGCGCGGAAAGCCCTGCCGTTTCCGATTCGCTCTGTGTCGGCGGATATAAAAGGAAATACCCACCCCTTGGGTGGTTCTTCTTCAGTTTCCAGGTTTCGAAACGCCCAGGGGTGCTGCCAGGGTGGATGGTCTTCGGTGTTTGGGTCTAGCGAACCGACCTAGAAGACCGCGGATGGCGTGCTGCGGCGCGAAGCCCTGAAGACCGAGCGCCACTCGACACGTGCCGAGCGCATCCCGCCATCCAGGGGCACTGCACCCGTTGGGGCCCCAGCAAGAAGTGAGGGCAAAAATGGACGGAGAGGCCGACAATCAACCCAGATGTTGCTGGTGGGTGTCTGAGGTTTTCCGATGGTTTTTGGGGTAACCTTTGGAGTGTTCTGAGGTTTGGGGGGGTAACCCAGACACTCCCAATGTTCATGGAATTCTGTTTCCAAGGCCCAAACAGAAACAGGATAAACAGGTGGAGCTTCTCTCGTGTTTTCATTCTGGCTTGAAGGGTAGTAATCACCTCATAGTTGCAGTGTAGAGAGGTTGATTTGGTGGCTTGTTTGGCATGGACAGGTTGGGATTCCCTTAATATACATCTAAACACTAATCTAAACTAGGACCCACAAGGGGTGGTTAATGGACACCCCTTAACCTCTAAGGGGCTATCAATAGACACCCCTTAGGGTGTCCTGGAATGTCGAGGTGCATGTAAAAGGGCTCCTTAAACACTCGAATCAGCTCTTTCTTTCCCCACTCAAATCATCTCAAATCGCACGGTAGGTGGGTTCTCCTGCCCTTTGGTTCGCGAGTTTTTGAGTGTTCCGAGTGTTCCAAGTCAGCAGTGATCCAGTTGTTAGGCTGCATGGATGGTGCAAGAGGTGGACAGTTCGGTATTTTTCGGCCAATTTCCCGGCTCGCGGGTTCTTGAGGGGATGGCTGAAAGGGGGAAGCTTCCAAAACTGATGGTTCGAAGACAGATTCTGACTGAGACAGCATGGAATCGACCCTCTTGATGTGTCAAAGCTCCCGGTTTTGAGATGTTTTTGGTCCAAAGCTGGGGCTGCAGCTTCAGTCATCCATGCGAAGATTGGGTTCGATGTGGGGATGCTAAGCCAAATCACCTCCTTGCCTGAGGCCCCGGTACCAGGCTCCGCAGCTGCGGGATGCTGCGGGGGAAGCGGGAAGATCTGGAGAAACGACGAGAAGATGGAAGATGGGGATTGCACAGCATCTATGGTGTGGGTCGGCCCCCCATGTCCGTGTCCTCATGGTTTTGTGATCCCTAACTTGATGCACGAAGTCGAAGGTCCATTTGTACATCGGAACCGGCGGTCGATGACAAGACCAGGGCTGTTGTTTTTCATAAACCATCGCAGATGTTGGATGGATGACATGTTTTTCCCTAGGGATCCACTGCTACCTTCTCAGGTACGGTACGACTGAACCCTCCTAGCACCTAACTACCAAGAAGTGTCGAACACCTCAGAGGGTATGTGGATGCAATGGGGTTTGATATATTTTGCCTGACTCTCAGTCACTAACAGGCTTCCAAGGGAAGACAAGTGTTTTTAGAATTCTTTTGATGGCATGAGTGAGAGTACCAAAAGAGATAGCATACAAGAGCGGTCGCTCGTTCAGACCTGCACCATCAAAGACAAGTCTAAGAAGTCCTACATGATCCACATGAAACTTCCAAGAGGGTTTGTTCTCTAATCAGCTTCTCCAATGACTCAACCAAAAACACCCATGTCCTTTGGCAGAACATCCAATCATCTCTGAAATCCGGTTTGTGAGGCCTTTTGGAGCTTTTCCTTTTTGGGGGGGTATGGGTATGGGATATGAAGAACTACCAGCCTGCCAAGTGCTTGCGCAACTACCACCTGATCTACCTGGTGTATCGTGCCGTGCAGCTTTTTCCACTCGATGTGATTGCTGGGAAAAGCAACTCAACCCCCTTCAAGACCAGAGCCAACTCCAAGCAAACTATATTGTGAATGTGTATTTTATATACTATGGAGCACCCAATGGGTAGAGTGGTCGACCATTTCCCTTCTTCCACTTCAGGTCGTTGCCTG